TGTGTTCTATTTCTGAGGCTTTCGAGGCTACATTCCTGAATTAGTTTAAAATTATTGGTTGAAGATACTGCACTGGTAATGATTTTTGCATTCTTTCCTTAGATATTTTAGAATTTCTCCAAGACAGTCTTGGAAGCTTGAGCCCAAATGGGAGACGCATATGCCATAATTGCTGTTATTAGTGAGGTGTATGTTAAAGCTCCCCACTTTGTTCTGCAAAGGCTTTTAGTGATGCAGCACAGGTTTTTGACATGCTCAAAAACATGTTCAAAAGGTTTTGACAGTTCTGCATCTAAGGTGATTCCAAAGTATTTCGTGTATGATGTCTTCACTATGCATTTGCCTTCAGTGCATAATTTTAAATTTATCAGATCTTTATGCTTCTTATCTGTTGAAAAGACATAGACAGTAGTCTTTTCCAGCCTTGATCTTGAGTTTTAAGCTCTGCAGCCATGTTATGCTCCCATTTGAAGATTTCTGGAGCATTGTATCAGATTTGTGATTATCGCTGCTCCTCTTTAACTTGCCACGTGATATAAACATTTGTGTTTCTGATATCCCTTTGAATCCTTTATTTATTTTGTTACTTTGTTGTGTCTTTTAGGGTTACTATATGTTGTCGATATTATGCTTTGCATTGCTTTTATTGCTTATGTGTCCCTTTTTATTTCGGAAAGCCTTGACTTCAGTTTATTATGGCGAGCAAGCATTATTTATCAGAAGGATATACTCGCATGGTAAATGAGCCAGTTAGTGACTTGAATGAGAGTGATGATTCATTTTCTAAAGAGTTAGACAATGGTATTTATAGTGATTTTGATGCGGACATTTTGTCAGAGACTGAAATCACGCGGTGCCTGCCTTTCACTTACATTTGTTGCTTCTTGTAAATAATCTTATTTCTATTTTGTTATTATTAATTTACTTTAAACCTGATTAATGTATTTTGCCAATTAAAACTTTGGAGTAATTTGAATAGCGCTTCTTAAACTTATTTCTCAAAGTAAACGATTTATGTTTTCATATAAGGAAAAAGATTATTAAACGCTAATTTTTGTGTATGATAGTTTAAGTAATAATCTAAAATGGTTCAAAAATTATGAAGTTTGGACTTTTTTTTATTTTCCCTTCTTAAAGTTAAGCTTAGTGACACGAAACCCCTATCCTATGAGACAATTCCTTTCATCTCCCATCCATCCCGAGGGAATATGTTAAAAAAAGATGCATTGTCTGAAAGGGTTAATTTTCTTTCTCAAGCCTTTTCTTGCTCAGAAAGCTTTTGTTAATAACAGAAGTTATTAATCCTTTTGTTATTATTACAGCTTTTAGAAGTCTTTTTTTTCCTAGTATATAATAAGCACTTCTCCAGTGATACACATTCCTGATAATCTTTTTATTCATCCTTCTATTAATTGTAAACTTGCTTGTATTTTTTCAGAAGTTTAATTTCCAGGATATTTTCTCTCATATTGACAAAGACCATATTTTGGATTTTACTTTTTGGAGAAAATATTTCATATCAGTTTGGTTTCAAATGCGTCATCCTGACTGAAATGACGTAAAATTTTATCCTAAATAGTAGAATTCTTGTCAGTCTTCCATAGCTAATCGTCATTATCTCTTTCTTCTTTCCACTGTAATTCCTCTAAAATGGGCCAGATTTTCATGAAAGGTGTTAAAAGCACCAAAAATTAGTCAACTATGATTGATTTAAATTCCAGTGCAGTGTTCCAAAGGTTCTAGGATTTAATTGTTTGACCTACATAAGGCACATGAAGGTTCTCTACTGATTTCTTACAGTTTTAATCAAGAGCATTCCAGGGTTATGATATCGCATGTCTCGTGCATCTTTTTCCCTATCACCAGCTTCCTGGGAACACTGTTCATTTGAAAGGTTTTAAATGTCCCTGTTCTGCAAATATTTTAGTCATGTGCAACCGCGCTTCTGTGGGATTCAAGCTCATTTATGTGTGCTATCAGACTTATATAAATGCCATAACATCTGAAACGAACCTAAAACGTTTAAAAGCCTAATCACAAAATTTTTATTTCCCTTGATTTCTGGTTTTCTGAATAGTCAATTCAAATAAAGTCCAATGGCATAATTGCATTCTGTAGCAAAAAATGTCCATGCAGTATGAAAGCAAATGGAAAATAGTGCCGCTTTACAAGCCAAATCTGGCCCATTTACTTGCTTAAGGAGCAATGACATTTTGTGCAGTGACATTTTTCTTTCCTACCCTATTTTGTGCACAAACTATTGAAATCAGCATGTGGGCACATCTATTGTTATAATTTAGATGTGCATATATATGCATGACTATACCAGCAATCAAAGCTGAAAATGCTAAAAAGCTTGTGCATCTTTATTTATTTATATTATTTCCTGAAACTAAATGCAAAATTTGACTTCTATACATTTTTTTAATTAATTTTACCTCGTGAAATATGCAAATTAGGCATGTAAAGGGCAAAAGTGGCGGAGGGAATCATAAATGGCCACGACTTGAGTATTTTTCATAGTGTCATATCAAGAACTTAGAATCACTTTTTAAGCAGTGAATCAGTTAGATCATAGCCTAACCAAGAACAGCCAAGAGTAACAACTGCATTCTATCATCGTCAGCTCAAAGTAATCGTGAAGCGACTACTAGAGAGTTAATTTCAAACTTTTAAGCTGCTGTGGAAATTTGAATCAGCTATTTTACTGGTGAATGCAGGCTTCTCAAAGTTGGTCTTTGTTGAAATTCAATGGTTCGTCCCATTCACTACATCTTCCAAATGGATCTGTTAAGGATGGTGGGGCCATCATGTTCAGTGTGGCTCTTTTTGTATCTTGTATGCAGGCTCTGTAACTGGTTACAGAAATGTGGATGAGGTCTTGCAATCTCATGTAAGGCCTATTTGGGGTGCTGATATCTGAGATTTTGTGTTGATTTGAGTAAATTCTATGAAAGCAAGATGTGAGTTGCTTTTTTGTCGGAAGTGACCGTATGCATATTTTAAATGTGTGACAAAACAGGATCAGTTTTCTATTATTTTTAAATTTCATTATTGTGAGATTAATCAGTTGGCAGATTTGGTGATTTATATTAAGTAACACATTTATATAAGTTGTGTTCAATTATGTTTTATTAGGTAGGATTTTAATTTTATTTTAGTGCCCTTCAGTTTTGGGAAGAAGTGTCATTTACCTATTTAAATTATGTATTCCTGCCTTATAGCAGAGAATATGTATGGTTGCTGAAAAAGAGTGATCATGCACCAACCTCCCTCAAAAATGAATAATTATTTTTTCTCATATAAAAGCAACATCTGTGTATATATGAATTTTGACTGTTAAAATAACTGTATTTAAATACTCTAATTTATTTTTCAGTGTGTTAATGGGCAAAATTACTTTTGTAGTTTCTTTTTTAAAGTAATTTTGCCCTGTAATAGAATATGTGATATGATTTTACATATGCAGTTAAATATAGTAATGTTTATTACATTACACTGTTGAACTGCTTGAGTAAAATTATATCTTAAGTTTTCTTTTTGCAGATTGTTAGATTTCCAGGTTTCAGCATTAACAGTGTAATTGCTAATTCTATTTTTTTTTTCATGAAGTTGTGAAAGCCAGAGGTGTGCTAAATGATTTGAAAATCACTGTATTAAAGCATCAAAATTCACACGCACTCTGAAGATAATAAATCTAAACATTACAAATTACCCAAAGAATTTCACAAATTAAGAAATATATTTGATGTTTAAATGCTTTTTGTATGAAATACGTGACAAACAATTTTCTTCTGCATCAACCAAAGACTTGCAGTGAGAAAACATGGTATCATCATCAGCTGATGTTGAATTGGTACTTTTTTCCTAAGCATGAGAAAAATACTTCATAATTCCGATACTTCAGGAAACAAAAGAATGGTGTAGAATGATAAAATTTAAACGTTTTATTTTTAATACTTTGAACACAAAAAGTATTACTATTAAGAGATAAGTATAGCACTGATTGCACATGCATTTATGTGTGGAAAATTTTACGCATTTTGTACGTAACAGAGAGGTATGTTTTTTGGCGGATGAGACGATGGCAGTGAATATGAGCTTTTTGTCTTTTCTGTTATTCAGATCTTTGTAGAAGTGAGAGATTGAACTAATTATTAATTCTATGGGATAATAATTTAAAATTTTATTTTTAGTCATATAAAATGCTATCTATTTAGAATTATTTTTAATTATTTTGTATTTAAATAAAATAAAAGGGTTCTGAAACTTTTAAAGGTATTTAGATTGAATGTTTTTACATGATTTTTCGAGTATTCATAATTTATTTTATGATATTGTAAATATCTTAATTTCAGATAATCTAAGCTAATTCTGTAAGCTAGTCAGAATTAAAATTAATCTAGAAAAAGCATTTAAAAAATTAATTTTAGCCAATATCACATTTTGTTTAATAGTCGTCTAAGCAAATATGATGATTTAATTTTCTTAGATGCATATTAAAAATGTATCAGTTAAAATTAATTGTAGAATGGAATGTTGCTTAAACCACTATCAGACTTACTAGCTTCCCTCAACTGCATTTTGAAAGAAACATTTCCGAGAACCTTTATGTACAGATATTTGACTATGTGAGAGAGCTGCAGGCAAAACATTTTTCCCAGCTTTGTAAAATAATGTTTGAGGAATGTGCACCTAGCTGATTGTTGAGTGCAAGTGTTTTCACTAGAAGCATCCACATTCAAAAAAGTACTACCAGAAACGCGTGTCTTGGAAAAGTTTCTTATAGTGTCGCTGTTTGTACTATCTCCATTGGATGTTAAAGCAACTAAGTTTCTTTAACATCTAAGCAAGTATTTGAGAGTTTTTCATCACTGTTGAATTTTTAATGATGATAATAAATGCGATTTTTAATCAACATTCAGGTACTTTGGAAAAATCTGAAAATTTGAGAATATTTTTGAAACATTATTTAAAATAGTTTACCTAACCTCCAACAGGCAAACTATATATATTATGTTAGAAGGTACAGGTTCAGGCAGAGACGCATCAAGGTATGTATCTTTCGGAATTTTAAAAAAAAAGAAAAAAAGGAAAAAAAAAAGTATGTTTCCGAGACTTCTTTAGCTTTTCTCCTAATTTTCCTGCTTTCCTAACATTGTCATCTGCATTTTAATTCTTAAATACTGCTTTTAAATTTTTGTTCTGTTGTTTTAATTTTTACACTTGTTACAGTTTTTTTATTATGATGTGTTAAAGTATTTTAAAATATGGTAACTGCTATGAAATTCCTTCCTTAGTCTATGTATGCTCATGGAAGTCATACTGGAGATGGTATGAGATTTCTGCTCTTTGAAAGAATGGATTTGATATTACACAATATGTAGTGAAAAATGCCACTTTTCATAAAAATGAAATTTCATGCTCTTGAGCAGTAGTTCTGAAATATATTTTAGCTTGCTGCACATAGCTTTCTTTCTGTAACCTCCATATTAAAATTATTTTTTATGAGGTGTCAGACTGAAATTTTGTGGCTACCCTTGAACCATTGTTTTAAAGTATAATGCAACTGTGGCATATTAAATGAATATTTCTCATTTAAATGAGATTCCATTCATTGAAATTGTGCTTGGCAAAAAATAGACGATCTGATTGTAGATTAAATCACTTTTTAACAATTATGTCATTGCAACAACCTAGATACATTCAGCTCTAAATTTTAGTGCAATTATTAGGTGCCATGCTGTCATAATTTTGAGCTTTTAATTGCAATTAAAGACGAGGCTAAAAGTCTGCTTTAAGTCTGCTTTTAAAGGTGTCTTGGAACTTTGCTATTCTTAATTTTATTCAAATGGCTTTCTGGTGCTAATCTGGAATTGTTAAGTTGTAAACAGCGCAATTAATTAATGCATGGTTGCAACCGTGGATTGACATTAGAATAAAAGAGCGAGGGATTGTGTAAGGGCAGTTAATTACCTTTCTTATAAGCTTTCAAAATGAGGGAAATTACTGGAATTTTTAGAATAAAAGAGCGAGGGATTATGTAAGGGCAGTTAATTACTTTTCTTATAAGCTTTCAATATGAGGGAAATTACTGGAATTTTAATAATGTATATTTGAAATATGTTTTGGAGCTGTTTCTGTAATTACTAAGGTGCAATATTTAAGGCTTTATTACTGTCTGCATTGGTTCTTATCAGTACCAGCAAGGTCTTTCAAATTTGTACTCTTAATATTTCTTAGAAAGGAAGGAAAAAAAAAAAAAACTATATGAAACTAGTCATTGGAGAATGCATAATAGTTTTGAATAATGGCTAAAATGTTTTAAAAAGTGTAAATTTGTTGACAAATATTTTGCAACTCATTGCCATTTTAGACTTTAAACAACTTTTAAAATGTTTCCCATATGATAATTCTCAAAATGTAAAATAAATTGAATAGGCATTTGTAGATCAGCTGGCATCATCATTTATGGGTTTTTATTCATGTATATTATATTTATTACTAAAGTTACTAGCATATTTATCTTTGGTCAGTGTGTGCTCTTTTACAACAGTTCTTGCAGGAAGATATATATTTGTTTCGTCAGTATGAATTAAAAAAAAGTATTTGAAAAATGCAGACAAAATTTAGGAAATTACTAAAATCATCTTATTGTAGATAAATCTCATACTGCAGTTATTTTTATTGTGTAAATAATGTGTATTTCATGTGGCACTCAGTATGCCATAGCTGCCAACTCTCAGTAACTTGCAGAATCTCCCAGTTTCAAATTTTTAACCTTTACTAAAAAAATCTTTCCCAGCAATAAATAAAATGTAATAAATTACTGAAATTTAAAAATTGTGGGCATTTTTATTCCCTCACTCCTATTGATTATCAGCTTAATTATTTAAAACTTTCTAGAAGCTTTCTAGAAGCTTTCAGAAGCTTCTAGAAATAGTTAGCAAAGCAAATACAGTCAGTTAAAATTATTTAATTTTGTTTTACATCAATGAATAATACATTACTGTATTTATCCACATAATAATGGGTACATTAATTATTAATTTCCTCGTATTTTTAAAGTACTTGCACAAATAAAAGATTTTCTCATTATAAAAATGTATGAAACTTACAAGGTGAAATCAACCAAAAAACATGAATATCTAATTAAGATTCTAATTTTCAAATTACTACTTAATTAATGTATTTAATTAAGTAGTAATATATTTTGCATCAGAATTGTTATAAATAATTCAGTAACCTCAAAGATGCGTTTGAAATGGCAGTGCTGTGTAGTATGAGTCTTTCACGATCGGCATCTATTGTATGCCAATTATAGTTACATGTGTACTAGAAATGAAGTACAATAAAGAAATAATCAAAGCAATATTTTAAAGCAACATCATTTATTGAATTAATAGAAATACCAGTTTAAGAATCAAATGTAAATTCAGTACCTCCCATCGTGTAAGACTCGGCAGTGAGTCGAATCTTCCATGAAATCCTCTTATGGATCTTTATCTTTTACAAAAAAATTTAAAATTCTGTTCGTTTCTCTTCACATGATTTTAGTTTCCCAAAAATTAGCTTCATTTAATGTATTAAATAGAAATTATAAAATATGAGTTATTTTTAGGAGAGGAGCGTGTGTGCTTAATCTAACATTTTCTCTGATAAAATAGCAGTAAAAGTCATGTCATGAGTGATTGAATGTTCCGATTAGTTAAAAAAAGTTTCTTAAAATATTTCTAATGTTTTATTGGATTACAATTAGCTATAAAAGCATGGTTCAGTCTTTTTGACAATGATTTAACTACATTTTTTATACGTACATATTTTCCCATTCATCATGAAAGTTGGCTGAAATCCTGCCTCCATTTCATTCCATACATTCTGAAGCATATCTGGAATCACAAGCACATTAGAAATGTGCATTTTGAGTTCTGGGATTGAAGGGCTTGCAGCAAGTGGGGCCCAGCTCTACATTTTTCAAATTTTCGGAAAATTAAAAAGAACAATTTCAAAAATTCATTTTTTAATTTATGTTCTAAATGTTTATCCTCATTAAACGTGCTAGCAAAAATGATTTTTTATGGCTACTCCAATGACTTTTTACTCCAATACAACAAACTTTTTTTTTTAAACAAAAAAGACCCATGAACACAAAATTTACCAAAGTGGAGCTGGGCGCTTCTTGCTGCAAGCCCTTCAGTTGTTTTTGACAAAGCACATACAAATCTTTCACATGACCCCTAAAATGAATTCACAGAGATCTAGGTGGTCAAAACCAGAACACCGCATTGGCATCTCTAATTCAACTGATCCAATGCATTGGAAGATGTTCATATAAAAATGTGCTAATCCCCATACCCCAAAAAAATTAATTAAAATTTTTTCAGAACCTTTTGATATTCTCTATTTGTGATATATTATTGTTGGATACCATTACAGGAAAAAATATAAAAAAATGCTTAAAAAATTCATTAAAAATATTTAAGTCAGGCTTAGTGGTGCGAAATAGCCTCTCTTGCAAGATCATGCTACTACAACAGCACACCGTCTCCAAGGTGAGTTGCGTTAAGCGGCATGCCGTCTCATAGGATTATTAACTGCTGATGCATATATTATACACCTGTCCTGAAGGGGTTAATGAGTGTAGTCTTAAAGCCTTCAAATGAGTAGGTATCTCTCCCTGACTCACCCAAAACAAATTTGACAATGCATCTATACCAGCTGAGAGCCTGTCCTCTAAGGGTGGCAGTTGCAGTTATAATTTTTTGTGCTTCTGGCAGTGTATACAATATAAAATACAAAGTTACCTGTTCAAGGAAGTTGGTTACTGAAGTTTTGCCATTGAAAATTGCTGCAGGTTTCATGGCAGCCTGCTTAGTATTCACAATAAATCAAAATCCCTCCATGGGACTAACTAGTGCCGTTGGAACTTCTGACTGAGGGGGAGGCAGACTAAATGTAGAGACATGGTTCTTACGGATGTTCAGGCACCAGTGTAAAGTCTCACCTTCTTTGGAAGCATAAACTAAAATGAGACTAAATCCGATCCCAAGCAGCTATTCTCTGTTGTCCCATAATTGGACACAGAGTGTAAAAGACCCTTTTATTAAAACTCAGCTGTCTAACAGGAGGCATTCAAAACCAGCCAGCATTTATGGCATAACTCAAAAGAGTAACAAATTTAAAATATAGTAGCTAATTTCAATCACAAATTAACCAAAGGCTACATAGAATGAATAATGAGCAAGTTGGCTCAGACCTAATACCAGCTCGAGAAGCCTAATGACGTAGCAGCACAGAAAGCAGTGGAAGAGAATCGGCTAGTAACTTGGCCTTGAGCAGGGAGAACACGCTGTGATTAAACCATCTAAAACCTTCCTTTAAATATTATCTCTCTACCTCATTTGAATACATGTGAACTAAAAATTTGCAGTCTAGCAGGAAAACATAGCAGGGAGAAAGTAAAGATAATTAATATAAAATAAATGGTTAAATAAAAAATATATAAATTCTTACATCTGAATGCTTTGCTTGAAATATATCGACTCTATTGATTTTCTGAAAATGAAACCCTGTGTTAGTACTATGCATATGCAGTTGGATTAATAGCACTTCTAGCAATTAAATTGCTAGGATTAAAATTTTGAGTTCATTAAAAGAAACTTTCTATATTCTTTAGCTGCTCTGTTGTTTAATATGTTCAAGCTGGAAAATCTGTGCAAGTTCTAATTTTAGATATCTGTCCCTGTTTGTGGTCAATGTAAGCATGTTCAGTCATCGTGCAGAATCTTAACAGGCTAATTATACTTTTAACTTTATTAACTGAAGTTTTTATCTCGAGGTATAAAAATTTCTGGACAAGCTATTTATGAAGTAATTATATCAATAATTTAAAAGTGAAGTATGTACCAAAAAATAGAGAATTATCTGAAACCAAAAATATTTCTGTTCATATTTTATGTTTGGTCTTCAAACATGCATGCAGGAGATGGTGTTAATAAAGTAAATTGTCATCCTTAACAAAAATATAGTATGATTTTTTTAAAAAAATTTGTAT